AACACATTGTTATTCCCAAAGAGATGGCACGCGGTTGAATGCCAGTTTGGATGAGATTGGTCTTCAGAAATCGGCTTCCGGACTGCTCCAACAATGTCAACACTGCCCGTTCAATATGGTAAATGAAAATTGTTAATTGATCAAATTGACTTTTCTTACGACTGGAACTCTCTTGGTGGATTCAACACTTCCTCCGGGGTCTTCAGCTGAATTCCCATTTTCAGAAGCTCGGCGGCAGCACCTGTCTCCTTCGGCACACGTCTTCCTTGTACCTGCCAGTGCTTTTTAAAATGCCAACCAATATGTTGTGCATATAATTTATTTGTAAGCCGCATTTCAATTTTTTTATTTCCAAATACACTAGTCTCACAGCGTAGGGTTATGAAATTGTACCAGCTGATTTTATCAATAAAAATTTACTGATGCAATCGATAGGCTTATCGGAAAAAATTATTCTGCAATCGATTGCTATGAACATTTTTCTTTCATAGTGCTTTTCTACTCTGTACATATACACTTCTACATCCAATTGGCTGCTGTTTGTTTTGTGTTCTTTGAAGATGTGATATAAATATATGATATATGTTTATATATGTTATATGTTTATATGCATATAAACTTATATATACAATTTATATATACATATACATGCCATTTTTACAGCATATATATAGCATATAGCATTGCAATAATAGAAAGTCTAAAATTTTGAGTAATTTCATATGCCTGCGTTCGCCAAACCTAACACTCTAGCCACTTTAATATGTTATGCACTAATAGGCACTGATATATACACAAATATTATAATATTAATCTTAAAGTTATATCTACGTTATTTGCAATTTGTGACGTGGAAACAAGTTTTATTTATGTTATTTAAAATCGACCCTTCCCAAATATATTTGTTGTTAATAAGCTAATGAAAGGAACACCCAACATATTTTTAAAAAGAAACCAATTTATTTATTTTTGACTACGGTCACACTAATTGTAAAAGTCTGGCATCTTTGCTGCAATTGCAATTTAATATTGTTTGTTTTTATTACTTGGTGGCAAAATATTTTAAAAAGTATGTATATCGTAAGTTTGTTCTCAACCAAATTTTGATACATTGATACGAATTGAATTCAATATAATAAATATCGGTACATTTATGTATGAGACACAAAAATGAAGTGAGTGCTCAGGCTACTCTTAAAATAACACACGCTTAAAAATCTTGTAACTCATGTACGTACATATACATACATACATACAATAATGTATTAATATGATAATCTACATATGTACATACCAACTTCTACCACTAATATTAGAGCATCATATATTCTACAGCTAGAGCTTCTACATGAGTGTAAATTTATGGGCATGCACTTGATTTTATTAAAAAGCAACTTACTAAGGACGGTTTGAGTTTTTAAACGAAAACGAAAGGCTATCTTCGGCACAACGAAGATCTAATACCCTTGCAGACCCAACCTTTTCATTATCCTAATACTGCTTTGTCCATATCTAAGAAACACTGGGAAAATACTTAATGCCGAGTTTGGTCAAGATATCTTGATAAACAAAAAGATTTTTAATCGAAAACCTAGTTTTTGGCCGCTATATGGCAGCTATATGATATAGTGCTCAGCTGATTTTGATATATATGCTGCGTGCTACAGAAAGAGGGACTTCTGCAAAGTTTCATGTCGCTAGCTTTAAAAATGAGAGACTATTTCGCATAGAAACAGACGTAGATGGCTATATCGACTCGACGGTTGATACTGATCAAGAATACATATACTTTATGGGGTCGGAGATGTATCCTTCTATGCATTACACATTTCACGACAAAATTATAATACCCTCTGCAAAGGTATAAACGCAAAACAGCTATGTTTTTAGCAGAAAGAATGGGTTATTCAACCCTCTTATTCCAACACCAAAAGCAGTTCGCGCAACGCGCTCGTTTGAAGAAATAAACATAAATAAAAAAAGTTCCCTTGGCGGGGCTTAAACTCGCAACTGACCAAAAAAAAAGCAGTTTCCTCCAACTCGCGACAGACAGCTATGCCTCTGTGTACTATTGAGAAAACAAGGAATTCAAATAACAGCACAGAAAACAATCGGAATTGCAATAATAGAATTCGAAGCAGACGCGCATGAATGTGTGTATGTATATTTACCAGTTCCACCGTTCTGAAAAACTATAAGTTATGTTTTTACAAAAGTATCAAATATTGTCCTACTTCTTAACTGCCTTTGTGTGCTTATTTCCCTTTTAAGGGTGTTCATATTCAAAAATAAAACCAGATCAACACTTAGCTAGTATGTCACGCTATCGGGAATGGGACTTGACCTGCAAAGTGTATGTTGGAAACTTGGGATCATCAGCTTCAAAATTTGAGATTGAAAATGCATTCAATAAATATGGGCCTTTACGAAACGTATGGATAGCACGCAATCCGCCTGGTTTTGCGTTTGTTGAGTTCGAAGATCGGCGAGATGCTGAAGATGCTACCCGAGCACTTGATGGAACACGCTGCTGTGGCACAAGAATCCGTGTAGAAATGTCTTCAGGACGCTCTCGCGACAGAGCTCTTCGTGGCGTTGCCGAAGGAAGTGGCAATAGTGGTGGGCGTGGTAATGGACGATTTAGGTAATTTCATAAAGTCATGCTTATATTTAATATAAATATTACTGCTATCGATAAATACGCGTGCATTTACAATTTTTGAAAATATGCGATCGATCAGATGGATAAATGTAAAATTCGGTATTGCAATTATTTTATGTAAATGCTCTAGATTAGTTAAATCAGTTTCTTTTAATTATTTTTTTGTATTTAAAAATATATTTAGCTGTGTTTGGAAAACTACTTATACAATTACCTTCCCCTTTAACTATAAGGGACGCGACCTTTAAAATATACAATTTTAAACGCGATTATCTCAAACCTACATTTTTCAAGCTAGACGCACCATTAAATTATTCAATTATCAACCGATAAGGTTTATATTTGACATAAATATTTAAAAATGCCTGTTGGAAGAAATATTAGTAATTTATTAAATGTTTAATGGCAATATTTTGAATGCCCAACTTTAAATTCCGTCTTTCAGCGAAAAACAAAACACTACGTGATTATTTAAAAATATACTAGCAGATATAACCCGGGCTTGCCCGTGGCTTTCAAAACAAAAAACTTATACAATCGTTTTTCGCCAATTTACCACTGTTGCTGGTGGGATTTCCCAAATCGCTGAAACATGTATTGCTTAAGTTCCTATGTAGAGCTTTGTAAATAAGATTAAAGCAAATATATCCCTGATTTTATTATATTCAAGCTATTTAGCAATGTGATCACAATCTATCGACAAGGGAGAAAAAAAGAAAAAATGTGATAATATATATAAAGTGGTATAATTTTACGACTTAACTAAATTTTAAGAGAAACAATGTAAGTTATGTGTTAGGTTTAGTATTCAAATTAAATTGTTCCCAGCAACGCCACTTTACTTTAAACGTTTTAATTGGTGTTCTGATAATATTGTTTTCTTGCACATACTCTTTCAGATCCCGTTCACCAAGGCGTTCTCGGACACCTCGAAGCTTCTCTAGAGATAATAGAAGTCGTTCCAATTCACGTGATCGATATAAAAAGCATTAACTAGCAATTTAGTTATAAGCAAAATTGTACCTTTCTAAACTTAGTTACTTATATAACCACTTGGAACCCATAATAACAAATTTGTGTTTAATGGATCAAAACAAGCATTTAACTGAACTAAGTAATTAAATTAAGTACACCTTTTTTTCATGTATTTAAACATCTATTTTATTTAATATTAAAACTTTACTTTTAAATGGCAATTCTTTGATAATCCTGAAAGAAATAACCCGGTGTTGCACGGTTCAAATAATTTTAAAAAGTAATAATAAAGCACCTGAAAAATTGTTGCTTCCAGTGACACCTTACCCCGATTTTTGCACACTCTTACACATGCATCCGCAAGATAAGTGAAGCAATAGGAAACACAGTGTCGTCCTTTACGGTCCAAGACTAGAATTCCAATTTAGTTTTAACTACGAACCGAACCTTAAACCAAACCTTTTGCCGCAAAATCGGCTGCAACAAACTATACTAATTTTCAAAAACAATTTTCTAAAATAAGAAATTAATTTTAAGGGAGGTTCAGCCCCTAAGCAAATAACTTGATACATGCCAGTTTTGGTAAAAGAGACTTAGCTCGTAACTTCCATATTAAAATTTATACAGGTTTTAATAAAGCGAGAAAGAAGGGCTATCTTCGGCACGCCCAAGACTTTATACCCTCGCAAGCCCAAGCTTTTAATTTTCCCGTATCTAACAAGCACAGGGAAAATAGTTATTGCCGAGAATGGTCAAGATATCTTGAAAAACAAAATAAATTTTCATACAACTTAGTTTTTGACTGATCGTTCCTATTGCAGCCATATGATATAGTGGTCCGCTCCAGCTGGCTCCGACATATATAATGCGTGCAACAGCAAGAGGGACTTCTGCAAAGTTTCATATTATAATACCCTCTGCAAGGTAAATTTAGTTTCCCCCCATTTTGGTCCCACGTTAAAAACCTTTAATAATCGTAAATCGCGTGCCGAGACATTTTTCTTTATTTTCGTAAGGCTGTGAGAAAGTATGAGATGATGGTAAAGTTGAAAGGAGTGCCTAGCGTGAGCTGCATTTGAGGTTGGTAGAAAAAGGTTATGGATACCCTCTAATAGGGCACTCCCGACTAGAGCACGCTTACTGTTTGACGATCAGAAAAAACAAATTTAAAATGAGTATGTGTTGTGTAAATGTATGTAACCGGTCAAAGGAAGCGTCTCCGATTGCACAAACTACCTACGTTCAAAGTTTCAAGGCTCTAGCTCATATAACTTAAGAGTTCGACGCCAACATAAAATGTATGAAAACGAACACAATTTATCTTAAACCAATTAAAACATGTAAACAGCAAAGGCGCTTAAAATCCAGTAAAATTGTGTGCTTACCGCACACTTTATTTTGTTTATGTGAGACTTAATGTGCCACTGTACAATTTTCTTAGAAGTATTCTTGAATCATAATTTAAACAGGCGCACACTTGTAAAAATATAATGTATACTAAAAAGGTACACTTTAAACTTAGTTGAAGACGCAACACAAATTCGTTGCACATTTCGCACTGGATTATATCTTACGTCTAGTCATCATTAAATTCCCTCTGTCTAAAGAAGGCAAGTAGCCTTAAGGCCACATTGGTAAAATGGCGTTACTCTAGCGCATGCGGTATGTATTTGATTCTTGAATTTCAGATAACTCGCCCTTGAAATTGATATCGATGACAAAATCTAAGTCTCGATTGTTGCGTTCATTTGGCTTCATTTGAAACGTTCCATTAATTTCTTCATTTTTCTTGGCAGTTATGTGATCATCCAAATAGAAGACAGTCTGCTTCCAATGTGTATATGTGGAATCAGGGGAAGTGCTGAATCCAAGACGTTTGTGACACTTGGTGAATTCAATGTTAAAGTATGTGACCAAAGCTTGCACAAAATCATTACGCTTGATAGTAAGATTAAATTTTGAAGAGAAGTTCAAATCGGCTTTTTGCACTGTGTACAAATCCACCTCCTTTACCATGCACGCCGTGGAAACCACTTGCTTTGGGTCCACAACATCAACGAGTGGTTCGGTAACCGCCACCTTGCGTATACAACTCATATCAAAGCCATACACATCATCCCACCAATTAATTTTCTCGTCTTTATACTGGCGATCTTCAATAGCTGTGATATAGAGTGTGCCTCTGTCAGGAAACATCATACCATTCGGCTTTAGCCATCTATCGCGCGCATACAACACCGTGTCCAGCATTGACTCATAAAATAGGCAGTACCTAAAGTTTTGAGAGAGTAACTTTAGTTAATAGTAGTTTATTATTAGCAAACGCAACAGATCATACCCCATCCATTCTGAAATAATAATGTCCACTTTTTCGACACCATTTGGAAGTTCAATCTCCTCGATTTTCCCTTTGACTACTGTAATTACGTCTTGCAAATTGTTGTCAATAATCACTTGTCGAGCGAACTCTATTATATTGGAGCAGTCAACAGCAATAACTTTGGCGGCTCCGGCCTTAGCAGCGAACATGGATAGTATTCCAGTACCGCATCCAACATCTAAAACGGTCTGCAAACAATTTAATGTATAGCTCGTCTGAGTTTTTTTCAATCTCAATGTGGGTTTAAGACATGTTGGGTGTTGTGTTTAACATGCAAAATTGTAACAATACTAATTATTTGCTGGTTTTTGGCAAGGCGAACAACCGGAAACATGTATTTTTTTTTAAGAAATATCAATATTAGATTAGAGAAAACATCTACTTTGGTAAATTACACAACATACCAACTTGTGTCATACTCCAATTTAAATAGTTTACCTTTCCGTGGAAAAGATGCTTGTTATGGTACATTGCGTTACGGTATGTGACGGTCCGGACTTCGTCTTTAAGCATTTCTTCGTGGATGCCGAAATGAGCGTACGAGTCAAAATAATAGTCCCTCGAAGTCATCTCGTCTGCATTACCACTTGCATCGCCAGGGCCAGGAGATGCCGTGCCACCGCCGCTGGCGTTGGTGTGGGTTAGTTTCTTTAACACATTGTTCGAGTTAGTAATACCGATTGGTATGAGGCCGGTCGCGGGCGCGCTCTCGAGCTCGACACTCGACTCCATTGCTATATCTGTTGACGACTGTAAAAATTCAATTCAGTCATGATGCCGCAACTCAATAAGGCGTACTTACCATATTTTTTTAATTTTACTTGGCGTGACTTGCGACAACTGAAAGAAATTAAGAAATGTATAAGATACCAGTCTGCTTCCCTCCAAACACACGCGAAAAAGTGCTACCCAGCAGTCCACTACTAGGGATGGTAAGTGCATATCGATATATGAAAATTAACTTTACGATATGAATTATAAAATTAATGAAAATATCGATAAGAATGCTCAACAATAAAAACATTAGAATTGCATGGGAATAGTCACACTATACTTAACACAGTTTGATTTTATTTTTATATATTAACTGTAATATACATATACAACAATATTTATTTTGTTCAATATTTTAATTTTCAAGAAAGACATGGAAAAAGTTGCACAGTATTTCTGTTAGTAAGGCAGTAACTTGCAAACTGTGACAATATATCGACTAATGCGATTTATGGAAACGGAAGTCGGCAAGACTACATATTCTTGGCTCCATATTTTAAGGAAGCAATCAGTACATAAACAGACTTATTTTGTGAAAAAAACAATTAAGCTGTGGGATAAAATTTAGTTAGTTATCTAATGCGTACAGTCACGAGCTCAGATTTATTTTTAAGCTATCGAAGACTGTTGATAGAGAACATGTAAACATTATGAGGTCGCTGTCGTCTTCTACGTCGCCTACATTCCGTGACATGGGCTAAAAACAAGAAAACGTTACAGTGTGGTATATCTGCCATCGCAATAGTTGACTCATCATTACCGAGTCAATCAATCGAAAATAGTCTGATAAATAACAGTGTCTTTCAGGCTTGCTGTAAGACATAGTATATATATATATGTGTGTATTCACGATTTGTTAAAAATTAGTTATTTAATTATTTTGTAGATTCTGAAAGAATTGAAATAATGAGTGATTGTGCGTTGGAATTACGATTTTATTTAATTGGAGTAACACCACTGTTGTTAATGAAATTAAATATCGGAAAAACAATGCTGTGTTGAATCGGTTTTAATATATCGATTACATACATATTTTTGGCGGCCAATTCTTGCTTCACATTGTGTTTGAGGCGGCATTTGTGGAAGTGGTCAATTTTTGTCGTCTATAGTTATTAAACTGATACATTATCATAATGGAGGGCTTCGATGACGCTGGCGTATTTTTCTCCGACAATTTTGGAAATGATCAGACCCCAGATGGCGCCCAAATAAACTTACAAGCCGTGAAAAAAAAGTATAAAGAGTTCATTCGTACCTTTAATGAAGACAATTTTTTCTATAAATATCGGTAAGTTACGCTTTATGATTTGTAAAATGATTATTGTCAAGCTTTATATTTATGTAGAGACAATTTAAAGCGGAACTATCTTAATGGACGCTACTTTCTGGAGGTTGAAATGGAGGATGTGGTGGGTTTTGATGAGACGCTTGCCGACAAGTTAAATAAACAGCCCACTGAGCACTTGCAAATCTTTGAAGAGGCTGCCCGTGAAGTAGCTGATGAAATTACAGCACCTCGTCCCGAGCATGAAGAACACATGCACGACGTTCAAATACTGCTTATGTCAAGTGCGAATCCCACAAATATACGTGAACTGAAGTCGGATAGTGTATCGCGTTTGGTTAAAATTGCCGGTATAATAGTTGCCGCTTCAGGCATTCAGGCAAAGGCAACGCGAATGTCGATTATGTGTCGGTCATGTAGTACTGTTATACCGAACCTGAAAATCAATCCTGGACTTGAAGGGTATGCTCTGCCACGAAAGTGTACTACCGAACAGGCCGGCAGGCCCAAATGTCCTTTGGATCCCTTCTTCATAATGCCGGACAAATGTAAGTGCGTTGATTTTCAAACTCTCAAGCTTCAAGAGCTGCCAGATTTCGTGCCGCAAGGAGAGATTCCACGCCATTTGCAATTGTTTTGCGATCGCTCACTTTGCGAACGTGTTGTTCCCGGCAATCGAGTGCTTATACAAGGGGTTTATTCAATACGTAAGGTTGGTAAACCGTCGCGACAAGATGGTCGCGAGAAGGCTGTTCTCGGAGTGCGTGCGCCATATATGCGCGTGGTTGGCATAACCGTTGATGCAGAAGGAGCAGGTGCAGTTTCGCGTTATACTAACATATCCACGGAAGAGGAGGAGAACTTCCGGCGCATCGCCGCTTCATCAGATATTTATGATCGTCTCTCAAAATCCTTGGCACCGAGCATATTTGGTTCCGACGACATTAAAAAGGCCATAACTTGCATGTTATTTGGAGGCTCACGAAAACGTCTCCCCGACGGACTTTGTCGTCGTGGCGATATTAATGTGTTGCTTTTGGGCGATCCAGGTACCGCTAAGTCGCAGCTTCTAAAGTTTGTTGAAAAAGTAGCTCCCATTGGGGTGTACACATCTGGAAAGGGCTCAAGCGCAGCTGGTCTTACGGCATCCGTTATGAAGGATCCGCACACAGTGAGTATTATATTATATGGTTAATATTAAAATTCAATATAAACATATTAAAATGCTTAGTAATCCGCTACTAATTACCATAATATATAATTGTATACGCAATGTTAACTGCAGTAAATAATCATTCAATATAATTATTTTTTCCACAGCGTAATTTCATTATGGAAGGTGGAGCTATGGTTCTAGCTGATGGTGGCGTAGTTTGCATTGATGAATTCGACAAAATGCGTGAGGATGACCGTGTCGCCATTCATGAAGCCATGGAGCAGCAAACGATTTCGATTGCGAAAGCTGGTATTACAACCACATTGAATTCTCGTTGCTCAGTGCTTGCAGCTGCCAACTCTATATTCGGTCGCTGGGATGATACAAAGGGTGAAGAGAACATTGACTTCATGCCGACGATTCTTTCACGTTTTGACATGATCTTTATCGTGAAAGATGTGCACGACGAGACTCGAGACATCACTTTAGCCAAGCACATAATAAACGTTCATTTGAGCTCAAACAAGTCGGCGCCCTTTGAGCCAGAAGAAGGCGAAATTTCGTTGCCTATGTTTAAAAAGTACATCCATTATTGTCGCACTCATTGCGGTCCGCGTCTAAGCGAAGCTGCTGGTGAAAAACTGAAAAGCCGCTACGTTTTAATGCGATGTGGTGCTGGCCAGCAGGAAAAGTCGGCGGATAAACGTCATTGTATTCCAATTACCGTGCGTCAGTTGGAAGCTGTCATTCGTATATCGGAGTCATTGGCGAAAATGCGTTTGCTTCCGTTTGTCATGGATGACCATGTAAATGAAGCACTTCGTCTGTTCCAAGTGTCTACCCTTGATGCTGCCATGTCAGGCAGTCTGGCTGGTGCCGAGGGATTCACCACTGAGGAAGACCAGGAAACTTTAAACCGAATAGAAAAGCAACTTAAAAGGCGCTTTGCTATCGGATCGCAGGTTTCTGAACAAAATATTATGCAGGTAATTAGCAGTACAGTAGAACACCACAATATATCATTGTATTAAATATATTTTTGCAATTTAGGATTTCTTGCGTCAAAAATACGAGGAGCGAACTGTAATGAAAGTTATTCATACGATGATTCGCCGCGGGGAGCTTCAACATAGAATGCAACGCAAGATGCTGTATCGCATTTGCTGAAAAACACAACTCTTTCATATTATTAATATTGAACCAAAATACAATTTTTAATCAGCTTATTAAACAAATAATTTTATCAACAAATAATATTTTTTTAATGAAATTTATACCAGCTATACTCAACAAATTATACATTTTAATTTTAATTAGTCTTAATTATATATATCCTCGACTTTACAATGTTCATTCTTGATTAAATTATTTTGAATAGTCTTAGAAAAGTAGTTTCAACATCATGTCGGCATTTTGTTTTGCTTTCATGCCTTTGTTTATTTTTGCGCCATTTTATTAGCTCTTCCGACAGTTCATGAAATAAAACCAGTGAGCAAAATGGAAGCACACTACCTGGTTTTTATACCCTAACTTCATTAAACATGGGTATATTTATTGTGCAAATGGATGTAACAGTCAGAAGGCAGCAATTCCGATCGTATTGTTGATCAGCAACAATAGCCGAGGCGATCTAGCCATAACCGTATATTGTCCGCCTGTGTAAATGAACGCAAGGATCTCAGAACCAATAAGAGCAAGAAGAGAGAGAAAAAGTCCCCCCGCGCAGTACGAGCTCTTTTCCGATAATCGATAACTTGGCCCGTTTACGAGCAATCGATAAGAATCTATGCATAGCTTATATAGTGTATGAAGTGATTCCTTTTGCTTGTTACATACGTACATACATTTGCACAAAATCATTTAAAAATGATTGACAGACGAATGGACCCGACTATTGATGGCGATTACGAGTAGACATACTTTATGAGGTCGGAGGTGCTTCCATTTGCCTGCTACATACATTTGCGTAAATAAATATTATCCTTTTGTGGGTATTTCATAAGTGATGGCTTAAGCTTAACAAAATTAATACAACTGCGTTGCATGCATGTGTATGTATGTATATATCCCATATCTTTGAAAAGAGCGAAACAGAATAATCGCAATCAATATCACGTCTAAAAACGAAGAGTATAAAGGCAAAGAAGACCCAGTGAGCAATTTAACGCAGGCTGGCCTTTTATTATGAGAAAACATAATAATTTAATGAGGCGATCCTCATTCATTCATGGAATTCGTCAAAAATGCAACAAAAATGAAAAGAAAGAATCAGACAATGCTGGATTCCAGACCGCTGACCTTCAATATATGAAAACATTAAAAATATAAGAGTTGCTAAAAACGGTAAAATAGCTCCTCACTTTGCGATCAGCTTTCACGACGTGGGAGAGAGCATACAATGTTTTGACGGCAAGAATACAAGAATACCAGTAGAAGAGTGGATATAAGTAAATGAAGACTACGTAACATGTATTAGAACGATTTCTAGCAGTTTCTGATCGCAAACGGGACATTGAAAGGGATAGCGAAATTCTTCGTATTACGTGTGAATCTCCCAAACGACAAAATTTAGTTCAAGTGTAAGCAGGGAAGAAATTCACGAGGAGCTTGAGCAAACTTAATATAATTGGTGTAAAAGTAATTATTGTGTTTTGTCGCGATTTACGGGTACGCGCTCAAATGAAACAGTGAAGTGAAAAATATACTCGGAATTTGCAATGAAGCCAACGATAACATAAATTTCACCTGAACCATGCAGTACAAAGGCAACAAGTAAAAGTAAGTAATAGTAAGAGTAAGGGGGAATACCCGCGCTACGCACTCGTTTTGCTTCAGCATTAATTAAAAAAAATTAAGTAAGACATTCGAGTCGGAAGCTCTCGACTAGGGAAAACCCTGAACCCCCTTATTCCCACCACACCAAATGCAGCTCGCGCTACGCGCTCGTTTGAAGTAATCAAGATAAACTTAAATGAAAAGTTCCCTTGGCAGGGTTCGAACTCGCAACTGACCGCACACTTATACTTGCTGCCGCCTCTACTCAACAGCCACTCCAGCCAAAAAAAAAGGAAAAAGCTTTTTCCCCGGGCTCGCGACAACCACACCAATAATTGAGTATTATTGAGAAAAAAACGAATTAATATAGCAGCACAGCACGCGTAGCGCGTACAGCATTTGGTGTTGGTTCAGGGTTTTCCCTAGTCGGAAGCTCCCGTCTAGAACCTCTTACTTGTTTCATTTTTTATTAAGCCTCGCCAAGTCGATCTTGCCATGTCCGTCTGTCCGTGTGTATGAACTTTAAGAGCTAGGTAAATTTTAGCTGTTGGTCCTCCTTGTGCCTGCGCAGATCGAGCTTGTTTTCGATAATAGATAACTTACTCCGTTTCCAAGCAATCAAAATCGATATCGAAATCCTGTTTTTTGAGGAAATTGGGTAAATAATAAGAGGTGGAGTCAACAAAATTATTATAAAATAGTACATATATATCATGTATCTTTCATTTTATATCTAGAAAATATCGTTAAGATCGGTTAAGAAACATACAAAAGTTATGTGTTTTGACTGCCCACGTTTTTACGGCAGCTAGTGCAAATTCCTTGAATTTCCGTATACACGTGCACACATTCATGCGCGTCTGCTTGGAATTCGATGAACAGTATGGACATTGTATTTTTTCCTGTGTAAGTAAGATCCATACTGTTGAGTATAGGCGGTGGCAACTGAGTGTTTTGTTTGGAATTTGTAAGTATCCCCTCGCTGTTGGAGTATTTTCTTTAGATCCAGTCGGCCATCTCGTGTACTTGCTATTCAATAGCCGGTGATCAGTTAGGAAGTTGCCAAATTTGTAACTAAGTTACTGAATGTGATGTATGTGCACAAAAATCATTTTGGTGAATTTCTTCTGTTTTTGTAGAAAACTGGTTGAAAAGCTTTGTTTAAAACATTTATGTTTTTCTTCCAAAATGTTAAGTTCATTTAAGAAATCTTCGTAAAAACACATTTGGAAGGCTTGAAAATCAATCGCCTGGGGTAGAAAGTGGAGATCAAAAGTTGTATGCGCCTTTATATACACAAGCAATAAATGAAAGCGTATATCAGCGATGTTAGACTCAAAAAATAGGCGTGAATCTGTTAATATACAAATTTTGGCTTTCAAGCTTCTGCGGGTAAGGCTGTGTGCTGATCCAGTCAAAAGGTAAAGAGGTTAGCGTAAGCAAATGAAGACGCCATATGCCATTTCGAATCATATTTATGTAAATACATAGTTGAGACAGCAATTGCAATTGAATATGCAAGACTAGTTCACAGAACTGTCGGGATTTTTGATTATATTTTTCAATTAAGCACATAAAGAACGATGCAGTTGTAGGATATCAACTTTACAATACTCTGTTGACTAAGTAATATCAGTCCAACAGTATTCCAAATCCAATTTTGGCACGTAAAGGAGCTTTCCAAATGTATAATACATTTTAAAATATTTTTCTGATATTTTAGGAATAACTGAAATACTTTCATACCAAAAATGTTGTATACGACCTTACATGCGAATTTGCTTCGTCCAATATACTGTTTATTTCCATTGGGAACAGAGTACAATCATTAACGTCATGAACATCCGCGAGGTTTTCAAAAGAGCAAAAGATACACACAAATCTGGCTGCATACATACTACATAGGACATAGATTTGAATACGTAAACTCACAAATACAATAAAATACAAACATATACAAAGCATGTTCGATACATATGTGTATATATGTACATACATTTTTGTACATTCAATATTTACATACAAGAGTGTGCATACGTATACATTTGTATATACATATACATATGTGTATATTCATAAATGTATTTTGTATACAATGTACACAAATATAAAAGATACAAATACGTAATACAACGGCGGGGTAAGTGACTATGTACGAGAGCATAAACGATGAGTGGGGCCTTTTGTTTTGTGAATGGAAAAATTAAATGAAAATTCTCGGCATACAGCAGCCAATTCCGTTATATATACGTCAGTACGTTTATAGCTCTCGTAAGAGCCAGTTCATACATTTACCAAGGGAAATCAGAAAACTATTAGTGAAAACCTATTGTCTATTTGTCTGATTGTAAATGTGACCCCTGCCTTACCTAATTGCCTGGAAATAAATTCAGCTGTGTTTGGTGCTGTTTAAGATCATGTACATATATCCGAGCTCGCCCGAATCAGAGTTAAATTTACAGTCTGAAGAAAGTGCAGCCATTAAGATACAAGCTGGTTTTCGTGGCTATCGTGTACGCAAACAGCTATACCGTTTATCCAAATCTAATAGTTCTCGTACCAACGGCCACTTGTCTCAGCGCTACGCAAATCAGCATTCGAGTGGTGTTAGACGTCAGCAACGTCAACAGCATCCCCACATCAACGACTTCATGGAAGAGAATCAACAGTTGCCTAAAGCTGCTGACGGACAGCACGCCCCCGTCATGTCGGACGTAAGCTCGGTGGAGAACCGTTCTGCAACAAAAATTCAAGCTGGCTTTCGTGGCTTTCTTGTGCGGAAGAAGCAGAAAATTGCGACGGATGCAGCTGTTAAAATACAGTCGAGTTTTCGTGGATTCAAGGCACGCAAGGAAGCTGAAAAATTCAAGCAGCCGTAGTTTTGAAGCGTAATCTTCGTAACGTGTATATTTTAAATTTATTTATATACATTCTAGTTCTGTGTGTTCTAGCATGCAAATACATCTTGTACATATATAGAAGTAGATTATTGTCATGAAAAATATAAACATGAAAATAAATATAAACGTACTTTTGTTAAGTAATAGTACTTATATATAGTACATTTAAAAATCTTTAATGTGCTTGCGGTCACCCAAATATACTATACATATGTTAACATACATCCGTATATTATGGGATTGCTAATGTCTTCTTACAATCTTCGTCTTTTATTATACATACATGTATATTTTATAAATGGGAAATATATTCAGCGTCTGACTTAGCAATCCGACAACGGAGTTGATCTAGTCATGTGTGTCTGCCTATCCGTCCGTTTCGCCGTTTGTGTGGCTTCTTTGATACCAAAAAATTTAAGAGCGATTTCAAATGTGGAACGTAAAGATCCAATTTATTATTATTATTCTATATGATCGGTCGTAGACCATTTGTGTTAACTGCTCCCTCTCTAAGATTAAGTACGTCTTTGGTTTTCCTCAGATTCTCAATAACAATCCATAGGGCCAATTAGTGGCTAGCTCTATTTCGTTTCTGGTACATCTTCAGAAAAAAATAATACAATAGCAATACAATGAAAACTACGCTGAGCTGAAAGTTAAACATATTTTATGCAATTATACTATTCAAGAAGCAATATGTTAAATGAAGTGGCTCTATAACTCTCTATAACTAACGAGATCTGCCCAAGATACTGGGTTTTCATATGGATTTTCATCGATTACTTGGTAACGGGGCATGTTATCAAATATCGGAAACAAACCGTACTCCGCGGCCACTAGGGTGGTTGATTCATCTCACGTGCATCTTATCTGGAGCATGGGCTAAGACGTCGACATGTTCCAACCGAGAGCCTGATCGATGGATTTATTTTCAGTTCATAGCTATGAAAGTGTCTCTCATTCTTAGATGTTGCTCAACTTAAGGACGCGATCAGCTGAAACTGGCTTTTACCCGAAGCAACCCTTTGGCCAATCCAATAGAACTTGCATCCGTGTTCAGCTTGTGATCAGCGTTCAATCGATAAACTGCAAGTCTTATACTTCAAATAATCGCATCATTCTATTGTTGATCCGATACAAACTGTTGATTTTAAATGGTAGAATACGCAATGGCTCAGAAATCATTACTAAGACCGAAGAATTTTCTCATCTTAGTAACGTTGCTTGAAAATGGCGTTGGTATTTATTTCACGTGGACTGATACATTCTAAATGTAGTTGATTTCTCCAAAAGGTTATTGTCTGTTTAGATATGTATCTCACATTTGTCGTCGTTTAATGTGTAAACGTTTTATAGCCTCTGTCCACTGAGCACATTTCTTACACATCTCTGAAAATCTCACATTGTCACGTTTTGCAAAATGTATTAAATTCGTCCCCATAAGAAAACGCATTTCATACATTTTTCAAAAATGTCATATTTGCTTTAAATGTCATATATTTCTTTTTCTCCCAGTTTTCTTCCGTGAAAATGTAACATGTAATTTTAACAAAGTTCTCTAAAAATGATTTTGACGCCGATCCGATGGTTAGCAATAGGTGAAATTTCCAAAATTGCTGAAACATGTATTTTTTTGTTTTGTTTATATGAAGTGCTTTAAAAATAAGTTTTAGGCTGATAGGATACAAAACAAAAAAGTTTTATACAAAAGTTGTTCATGATTTTTTCACACTTGCGGGTGCAAAGATATTGGAAAATCTCCGCTTGAGCGTGCTAAAGTTGCACAGTAAAAACCTCAGCTTTGCAGCTCTTGCGTTTTGGGCTGTGTGTTGATCACCAAAAAGTGAGTCAGTCAGTCAATACAAACTTTTTAAACTATAAAGAGATAGATTTTCATTTAATAAATAATATTAATCATGCGATAGTTTTCATTGTTTCTTATATTGGAACAGCTTTACGTTTTTGTATGTGACAGTATTGTATTCCTTAAATAAAACTTATTTTCTATGTTTTTGCTTTCCAGCTTCTGCACTTTTTATGCGTCTTCGCTTGTGTTTGGGAATAATTCTTAGAACTTCACAATCAATTTGGACGGGCATGGAGTTTTGCCTCAAGGCAGTCCAGGTTACGCGCATGCCGCTTGTTTTACTTGAGCTTCTTTCTATTGTAAAAAGGGCATGATAATAAAATTATGAAATCGGCTAGTTTTTTAAATAATGTTGGTAGCTTACCATTATTAGGCCCATCATTTTTACTGACAATTATTGGTAGATGGTCGGTATTTTCATCCTCTGGTGTAGAATTTGAATCATTTTGCAATGCGTCGCCACGTTGCAGTGTTTGTCGTTTGGCTGCCAAACTGTTTTCCAAACTGACACTTTCCAAACCTTTAGTTTGTTTTCTGGGGTTCTTTTTGTGTAAACGATATGCAATTTGAATTTTCTTAGCAGCTTCCTCTTCAATAAACCGTTCTAATGATTCGTTTAAAGCATCGTTCCCGAAAGATGCTTTTGTATCTTGTGTCGATGACTTTGTACCTGCACTGGCACCTCGTAACCTTCGTCTAGATGAAATTCCTCGTGCTCCTGGCTTTATTTTAGCAGCTGCTGATACAATAGTCGATTCAGTTTCTGTGGATGTGTCTATAACATCTGTCATTGCAGTGTCTATATGATAATCATCTTTAATCGTTTTGTTAGTATCATAATAATCAGAGTCCGCTTCTGACAGGGAGTACGCCATTATCTTTTTACGAATGTTTTCAGAGGTTTCATCGTCTAAGCATAAACTGCTGCTCATGTTTGGTTCATTGACACCTTGTTCATTTCCCTCGTCAATGTATTTGACTGGATCAACTATTGTTCCTGATTTAAAAATACTATGTGGATCGTCACCGGCAATTGTGTAATACCGTGATAGGTGTGATCTGGTAATTTCTACATCATTTGTAAGAGCTTTGTCGTCATCAGCATTTCCAAACACAATAGATTCGCTTTGAGCTGAGCTTTCCCGAGTTTCTTCGCGCTGTAGGCGATTATATACTATTATATCAGCATCCTCGATATCGACTGAATTTTGTTCTTGCAAGGAGCTCATGGGTTGAACAAAAGGCTTCTCATATATTGCATCAGTAATAGGAAAAACCTCCTTCTCTAGACTCTCTTGAGTTTCGGAAGAGCGTCGTTGTGACATTTTCTCAATTATTTCATCTGGTCGCGATAATTTCAAAGTTCTACTATTCAAGTTATCCAAATCACTTTGAATTTCATTTTGAGGATGGAGTTCGTATTCTTTTTTAGTGTCTGTTTCATTATCTGCTCTATCGTCATAAATATTAGTAAATGAATCAGTTTTTTTAACAAGTTCGATTTCATGCAACTCATTTGATCCATTATCCTGCCGCAGTGGAACATGGGAATTAGGTTCTTCTTTAGAAGACAGTTTGGTCTGGACACCTTCTATTAAAAAAAAAAATAAGTAGTTACAGTTTTTATAAAGAAATAGTGCATATAATTATATATAGCTTACCTTTGTAGTCTGGGCCCGCTTCTGAACATGCTTTTAAATCCTTAACTAAATCGAATTCGTCTTCGTTTGTTGAACCTGCTAAATTATTATAAGCTCCATTATCTTTTTGAAATACGTTGGTTGAAAAGAATTCATCAACAATATTGCCAATATCAGTAGCCAATTTTGGTGAGCCATTTATTTGGGTATCTAAATTACTTAATTCGGTAAATGTACTGTTAACGGACTCAGGTATGCATAAAGCGGTTTCAAAAGCTGTGGTAGCCTCAATAGGCTCAAACGTGGCAGGTTCGCTTGGTAAAACTGATATACGTTGCGAACCTACAAACCATTCTGGTTTTGCTTGTTTGATTGGTGTACCTACATTAGTATATTTTTCATTTGTGTAATACCCACTTTCAGATGTCTTTTGTGCAGTTCTTGCCAGGAATTTTCTAAATGATGTCTGAATTTTAGTGGCTGCAAGGATTTTTTGTTGTTCATTTTTTGAATATATTTTTGTAGTTGTCAAGTCATCATTACTGAGAAGAGCAGTCTTTTTGTTTCCACTGTCATTCACAGTGTTTACCTCGACGTGCATTTGTCGAGCTTTGTAGTTGATATAAGCTCTTTCTATAATTTTTGCGCTTATCTTGCGTTTAATATTATTAGCAAAAGGATTATTATGCTCATTATTTTCTTTAGTTTCATTTTGAGCGGTAACTTTAGCCTCTGGATTATTATCTTTAATTTCTTCTTCATCTTTCGTTTCAGGCTGTTTATAAACTATATCAATTCTCGGGTCACTCGGGTCATTTTCATTGAGCTCATGTATAGTTTGTAACTTTAGTGTACTTAATTCCTGGTAGCTTGAATCAGATAATGCGGATCGATCGAACCTCTTTTCATCTTGTGGGACCTCGTTTTTGTGGTACTCTTTAGTATTTTTTGTTGATGTTTTTAGTTCGTTTATATTACTTTCTGATTTTCTTAAAAATTTTTTTGGTATTTTGAAAGTTTTCTTGTGTTCGTTTCCATCAAATGAAATAAAAAATGTAATTGACTTCTGATGCATTAGGGGTTCATTGTTTTTAATTTGCTCTCCATATATATAGCTTGCACTTCGCTCAACCTCTTTGGGTGGGTCTATTTCTTTGAAATCCAGATTATTATTTTTACAACAGCAGCTATTAATTTGACTGGATTCATTGGTACTAATGTTTAACTCATTGGGTGCATTATAAACTGTATACCATGAGCCTTCTTCGGATGTTTTAAATGACTTAAGTTGCAGTTCAGCAATGGGCGGATTCATTAACCGGCTCGATGTGGAAATCGTTAATAGCTTATCCTTAGCGATCGGTTTCTTTTTTGTTGTATTTGTTGTACATTTATTGATATGTGTGCCAATTAATTGATTACTTAAAGGCAACGAAGATTGGTTCTGCTAATGTTAAGGACAAATTTTAGAATACTACATTGCTTTAAATTCTCACCAGTATTTACTTCGGTAACTAGAGGCCCAGTTTCCTCTTCCTCGCTATTTTTATTTGATGCTTTTAAAATAGTTATACGTAAATTAGTTCGTTATCTTGTATGTTATATAACAAAAAATAAAATAACGGTGCGTCCGACTAGGAGATAACCTGGGCCAACCTCTAAGCTTCTATCACAAAAATTGAAACTTCTTTTTTTTCATTCTTAAAAATATTTTTTTTTTCGAATACTTTTACTTATCCTGGGACTCTTTTAGACGGACGCAAGCAATACAAAATAATTCCAAATAACCGAAACCGAACGCCTTAGAAAGAAATGTGTGTAAATATACCGGACAAACAATATTTGAAAGCGTTTGGGACGAGCTATGCAACTAAAATTGATTATTGGGGGAATATGAATAAAAAAAGTAAAATATTCTGGACTTTGCTACTTATAAGAGCCGGGATATGCTTATACTGATATACCTGAAGGACATTCATTCAACATATATAAAGACAGACAGATTTTAGACTCAATGGACCAAACGGAAGTCCTGCAAAGATTGCTCAATCTCACAGTTCATAGTACGATTATAGGATTAATATCAGTTGCGCAGGTACTAACTAAAGACATCACTTTTTGGTTGTGCCTTCCATCGTGGCTTGGCGGGAGATCTATCTTAAACATCTTTCGATCTATGGACCACGGCACCCAGTTGTATAACGCAACTCCAAGTATAGCAATCGCTGTACCGGCATTTGTGTTTTAAACCAAAAGTTCCACGAAATTTGTCTCTGGTCAGGCAGCAGCATAATACTCATAATTTCAGCTCCAAACAGTTTAGGCGTGAACCCAACTGATTAAACATTGCTGCATGGATTATAGTGCGAATTGATGTAAACTCTTACCGACACCATTTGACAACGTTTAAGACCGCTTTTGTTCCCCTAACTGCGATCAGTCAACTGATCACATCTGTTACCCTGAAAGGATACTTCTCATGTGTCTCTAAACCTATTAGCTCCGGAAGAAAAAGTATAATAAGGTGCCCATGTATGCACACCACCACGGTCGTACCACTACATTTATATCACCCTACCTCGATCATACAATTTCCCCCTTTCAATTTCAGAGGTCGCCGAAAAGCACCTCGGGCCAACAGGGTCATTCTGAACTCTCAGTAAACATTCTCGAATGCAATATATTGGGAGAAGGTAACCAGTCAATAGGAATCCAAGACAGGCAAAATGCAAATTCCTTACAAGTTCAGCCTTTATAGTTTCTGAAATGGACGCGTTCACACAGCCGAACGCTAGATCGACTAAGCTCGTCGTCCTGATCAAGAATATGTATGACGAATACCATTTAGCTATACCGTTTAATAATATTTCGTAAACATTCCGCTAATTATACTAATATTTTTGTGTTTTATTAAAACGCTAAACAAAATTCTGCAGTTGGAACTTTTTTTTTAGTTTTTTATACTGTGAACCCTTTAAAATGGATAAAAAGACTTTAATGTATATAGAAGGAAGTATATCTGACCCAAAAAATATATATATTCTTGATTAGCATCAATAGTCGAGTCGATCTTTCCATGTCCGGCTGTCTCTCCGTCCGTATGTATGAACGCAAGAATATCAGACCGTTTAAGGGCTTGAAATATTAAATGTAGGCCCCCTAGTGCCTGCACAGTACGAATTTGTTTCCGATCTTCCGTTTCTAAGTAATTGATAAAAATCGATATCAAATCAAATATCAAAGTCCTGCGTTTTGAGCAATTTTAGTACGATGTAGGAAGCTTCCTTGCTTGCGTATTTGTCTTTATGTATGTGTGACTTTAAGCATACATGTACATATGTTACATGTAGAGAAAGGTTCTTGTATCGGTAGCTCGGGGTGAATCCTAATCGGCCACTCCCGACTAATGCCCTTTCACTTGTTCAGTTTTTGATTTTTGGCTTGAGGGTTTCAAAAATTAAATAAGGCAAAGTCAGGGATATGTTATTATCATCGTTACTGTACAATTCAAAGGTACACATTCGGGACCGAAAGTATAAAAAGTATTGTTCAGGTTCGCTTACCTAACTTATTAGCATTGACAATATTCTGGTTGTTACATTTAGCTGAAGTGGTCGCAGTCAAAATTGGTGGATTCTTAAAAAGAGAACACATTATGTTTTCGGCAATGGTACACAAAAATTAAAATTGCTTTACCTGATCGACTTTATCATAATCACCACTTTCCATAGAAGAATTGGTTGCTTCTAAAGGTGCATTTTGGTAGCAAACCGGTGCTGTATTATTTGTATCACTTGGGCTTAGCCGTTTCTCAGGTTCTAAAATAGATGTACTTGTTGGGCTGAGTGGCTTCATATTTGCTTCCTCAATCAAAATTTTCTTTGGGCTTACAGACATAATAGATTCTGAAACTAATTCATTATTTTCACCAATTGGGCTTTTTAGCGATGGTATGATGACTCCCGCTTGCGACTCTTGTATAGATTCCAAGCTATCTATTTGAGGGCTAAGTTTTGTAATGGATTCTTTTATATTAATGTCGTCTTGAACTGTTTTAATATTGTCCTCGGCTCGCTCATTTACATTAACATTATATTCGATAATATTATTGTTATCTATTTGAGTTTGAAGCTCTGAAGTTTTGTCACCCGCATCTGTTTTTGTACCATTCTTCCGATTCTTTTGTCCATTTGTATTTTCATCCCCATGGTCTTCTAATAGTGGTTCATTTAAGTTATCTTGAACATTTATGACTGCAAAAAAAACAACTTTTTTTTTATAACCTGCCAGTCATAATTGCGGTTTAGGAAGGGGATTCCTATGCAATATATAAGCACAGGCTCGCTTACCTAAGTTATTAGCATTGACAATATTCTCATTGTTACATTTAGCTGAAGTGGTCGCGGTCAGAATTGATGGATTCTTAAAAAGAGAAGTTTTAGATTACATTACGTTGTAGTCAATACTACAAAAAAATTGAAAGTGGTTTACCTGATCGACTTTATCATAATCACCACTTTCCATAGAAGAATTGGTTACTTCTAAAGGTGCATTTTGGTAGCAAACCGGTGCTGTATTATTTGTATCACTTGGGCTTAGCCGTTTCTCAGGCTCTAAAATAGATGTACTTGTTGGGCTGAGTGGCTTCATATTTGCTTCCTCAAGCAAAATTTTCATTGGGCTTATAATAGATTCTGAAACTAATTCATTATGTTCACCAATTGGGCTTTTTAGTGATGGTATGATGACTCCCGCTTGCGACTCTTGTATAGATTCCAAGCTATCTATTTGAGGGCTAAGTTTTGTAATGGACTCTTTTATGTTAATGTCGTTTTGCACAGTTTTAATATTGTCCTCGGCTTGCTCATTTACATTATGTATTTCAGTTTGAAGCTCTAAAGTTTTGTCACCCGCATCTGTTTTTATATCCTTCTGCTGATCCTTTTGTCCATTTGAATTTACATCTCCATGGTCTTCTAATAGTGGTTCATTTAAGCTATCATCAACACTTATGTCTAAAAAAAAAACACATTAAAATTTTTAGTAATCACCTGTCAGTTATGATTGCGGCTTAGGAAGGGGGATTCTATGCAATATTTAAACGCTAGAGTGTTAGCATTAAAGAGATTGTATCGTTTATAAGCCAGAAGAGGGGAATCATATTGTCTGGGCAGAATATAAACAGGCCGACAGCTACTACAAGCTTTTGCGAGCAAGCTGTCAATAACAACTTAATTACATTGACCCTATCACGGTGGTCGACAGTAAGCTATGACGGCAGAGCGGAAATGGGCGTGGTTGGATTCCTAATATTATTACATTCGCAAACTATACCATGGCCACATCAATAGCCACAATTAAGTGGCTAGCAGATGAGAGTGCAGACAATACAATTGGTGAAGACGAGGTCTTGTGAGCTTTAAATGCTACTTGGAGTCCGAGGACGCCCTTTCTTCAAGAGGGGAAGTAGTTAACCACGGGTTCGCTGTAAATTCTCTAATGTATTTTTAGTCCTTATGTGTAGATTGAATAGAAGACATCAACCAGAATAAATGTCTTGTATTTCCGACTGGCTTAACTCTTAATTATAGTTTGTGTTTGATTTCTGCCTTAAGGGTTTCAAAAGAAAAAAGGCATAGTCAGGTAAATATCATTATTAGCGTTATTGTACATGTTAAAGGTACACATTCGAGACAGAAAGTATAAAAAAATATGAAATAGATTCGCTTACCTAAGTTATTAGCATTGACAATATTTTCATTGTTACATTTAGCTGAAGTGGTCGCAGTCAAATTTAATGGATTCTTGAAAATAGAATGTTTAGAATACATTATGTTTTCGTCAATAGTACTCAAAAATTCAAATTGGCTTACCTCGTTGACCTTATCATAATCAGCACTTTCCCTAGAAGAATTGGTTGCTTCTAAAGGTGCATTTTGGTAGCAAACCGGTGCTGTATTATTTGTATCACTTGGGCTTAGCCGTTTCTCAGGTTCTAAAATAGAAGTACTTGTTGGGCTGAGTGGCTTCATATTTGCTTCCTCAATCAAAATTTTCTTTGGGCTTACAGACATAATAGATTCTGAAACTAATTCATTATTTTCACCAATTGGGCTTTTTAGCGATGGTATGATGACTCCCGCTTGCGACTCTTGCATAGATTCCAAGTTATCTATTTGAGGGCTAAGTTTTGTAATGGACTCTTTTATATTAATGTCGTCTTGTACTGTTTTCAAATTGTCCTCGGCTCGCTCATTTTCCTTAACATTATATTCGGTAATATTATTGTTATCTATTTGAGTTTGAAGCTCTGAAGTTTTGTCACCCGCATCTATTTTTTTATCATTCTGCCGATTCTTTTGTCCATTTGTATTTTCATCTCCATGGTCTTCTAATAGTGGTTTATTTAAGGTATCATGAATATTTAAGACTGAAAAAAAAAACACGAAAAAAAATTTTAATAATCACCTGCCAGTCATGATTGCGGTTTAGGAAGGGGATTCCTATGCAATATCTAAGCACAGGCTCGCTTACCTAAGTTATTAGCATTGACAATATTCTCATTGTTACATTTAGCTGAAGTGGTCGCGGTCAGAATTGATGGATTCTTAAAAAGAGAAGTTTTAGAATACATTATGTGTTCGTCAGTAGTACACAAACTTCAAATTGGTTTACCTCGTTGACTTTATTATAATCAGCACTTTCCCTAGAAGAATTGGTTGCTTCTAAAGGTGCATTTTGGTAACAAACCGGTGCTGTATCATTTGTATCACTTGGGCTTAGCCGTTTCTCAGGCTCTAAAATAGAAGTACTTGTTGGGCTGAGTGGCTTCATATTTGCTTCCTCAATCAAAATTTTCTTTGGGCTTACAGACATAATAGATTCTGAAACTAATTCATTATTTTCACCAATTGGGCTTTTTAGCGATGGTATGATGACTCCCGCTTGCGACTCTTGCATAGATTCCAAGTTATCTATTTGAGGGCTAAGTTTTGTAATGGACTCTTTTATATTAATGTCGTCTTGTACTGTTTTCAAATTGTCCTCGGCTCGCTCATTTTCCTTAACATTATATTCGGTAATATTATTGTTATCTATTTGAGTTTGAAGCTCTGAAGTTTTGTCACCCGCATCTATTTTTTTATCATTCTGCCGATTCTTTTGTCCATTTGTATTTTCATCTCCATGGTCTTCTAATAGTGGTTTATTTAAGGTATCATGAATATTTAAGACTGAAAAAAAAAACACGAAAAAAATTTTAATAATCACCTGCCAGTCATGATTGCGGTTTAGGAAGGGGATTCCTATGCAATATCTAAGCACAGGCTCGCTTACCTAAGTTATTAGCATTGACAATATTCTCATTGTTACATTTAGCTGAAGTGGTCGCGGTCAGAATTGATGGATTCTTAAAAAGAGAAGTTTTAGATTACATTACGTTGTAGTCAATACTACAAAAAAATTGAAAGTGGTTTACCTGATCGACTTTATCATAATCACCACTTTCCATAGAAGAATTGGTTACTTCTAAAGGTGCATTTTGGTAGCAAACCGGTGCTGTATCATTTGTATCACTTGGGCTTAGCCGTTTCTCAGGCTCTAAAATAGATGTACTTGTTGGGCTGAGTGGCTTCATATTTGCTTCCTCAAGCAAAATTTTCATTGGGCTTATAATAGATTCTGAAACTAATTCATTATTTTCACCAATTGGGCTTTTTAGTGATGGTATGATGACTCCCGCTTGCGACTCTTCTATAGATTCCAAGCTATCTATTTGAGGGGTAAGTTTTGTAATGGATTCTTTTATATTAATGTCGTCTTGAACTGTTTTAATATTGTCCTCGGCTCGCTCATTTACATTAACATTATATTCGGTAATATTATTGTTATCTTTTTGAGTTTGAAGCTCTGAAGTTTTGTCACCCGCATCTGGTTTTGTATCATTCTGCCGATTCTTTTGTCCATTTGTATTTTCATCTCCATGGTCTTCTAATAGTGGTTCATTCAAGGTATCATGAACATTTAAGACTGAAAAAAAAAAACACGAAAAAAAATTTTAATAATCACCTGCCAGTCATGATTGCGGTTTAGGAAGGGGATTCCTATGCAATATATAAGCACAGGCTCGCTTACCTAAGTTATTAGCATTGACAATATTCTCAATGTTACATTTAGCTGAAGTGGTCGCGGTCAAAATTGGTGGATTCTTAAAAAGAGAATTTTTAAAATACATTATGTGTTCGTCAGTAGTACACAAACTTCAAATTGGTTTACCTCGTTGACTTTATTATAATCAGCACTTTCCATAGAAGAATTGGTTGCTTCTAAAGGTGCATTTTGGTAACAAACCGGTGCTGTATCATTTGTATCACTTGGGCTTAGCCGTTTCTCAGGTTCTAAAATAGATGTACTTGTTTGGCTGAGTGGCTTCATATTTGCTTCCTCAAGCAAAATTTTCATTGGGCTTATAATAGATTCTGAAACTAATTCATTATTTTCACCAATTGGGCTTTTTAGTGATGGTATGATGACTCCCGCTTGCGACTCTTCTATAGATTCCAAGCTATCTATTTGAGGGCTAAGTTTTGTAATGGATTCTTTTATATTAATGTCGTCTTGAACTGTTTTAATATTGTCATCGGCTTGCTCATTTACATTAAAATTATATTCGGTAATATCAACGTTATGTATTTCAGTTTGAAATTCTGAAGTTTTGTCAGTTTTGTCATCTGTTTTTGTATCCTTGTGCTGATCCTTTTGCCCATTTGCATTTTCATCTCCATGGTCTTCTAATAGGGGTTCACTTATGTCTGAAAAGCAATAAAATGGAAAATTGCATATGTTTTTGGAGACTTTGTTGGGTGGCGAAGTAGAGAATACCCAAGTAATATATATCTAGCTCCCAGGACTGAGCTGCTGGAACCCATATAACCCCAGAGCGCTAATACAAATATTTTAATTTCTATCTACGCATAGACACGCGCTAAAAAAACCCAAATCTCAAAATTGATTATTTTTATGAGATAGTAAGTATAAGATCTAACTAAAATTTATATACCAACAAGCTTTCACATGATCTCTATGGAGCAAAATGCATAAATAAATTGCGGCTTAGGAAGGTAACCTCAATGCAAAAGTTAAACGCTGGAAAGCTCGTATTGGTAGATTTACACTAATATCGTTTACAAATCAGATACGGAGAGTAATATTGCTGATGCTTTGTCAAGCAGAATATAAGCTCGTTTGAAAAAAATGTGCCCGATTCGACAATATAAAGTGAAGTGTACGTGCGCTGGTCGCAACTGATTTAATAGAAAGCCGATAAGCTCCTTCAGAAATTCAATCAGCTTAGATGGGGGAAAATTTGTTAATTTGTGCACCCAAAAGACCCACCACTTCGTCAGATTAATTGTTAACGAACTCCTTTCAATCAAATATAATCCGGTATCAACCCAAGATAATGTAAACGTGTTCCACAAATTGGTGGACAATACTAACAGACAGATGAACGGCGGACATGGATGGCTGAATCGACTTAGCTATTGATGCTGATCAAGAATATATGTATATATACTTATGGGGTCGGAGATTCTTCCATTTGCCTGCTACATACAATACATTATACCCATTTACCCATTTCTAATGGGTTCAGCTTATAAATAATATAATACACAAACTCTTTACCTTTTCCATTGTAATTTATTGATTTTTTACTTGATTTTATAGATCCTGTTACACATTCCATTTTGTTGTTTGTATTGTCATTTTCGACTTCCTCATCTTCCTTAATAGTTTGTTGATGGACACCCTCTTCGTAACTAGCGTTTCCAAACTCATTGTGCTCACCTGCCGATTCCGATGAAATTAAAGCCGTGGAAGCCGACGTATATGAGGCTGCTTCTGAGGCATTGTCGTTTATATCATCGCATTGCTCTAGCTCAGTATTTGTATTCGGTTTTGTTTTCCGCGCCTTAACCATTCTTCGAAATACTCTTTGAATAACAAATGCTGCTGCTATATGGGAAACATTGTCGCCAGCAGTAGAATCTATAAATTTAAGCAATGACCGTTCCTGATTCTTCTTGCTTAAATATTGTCGGATGTATCGTTGTATAATGAGTGTGGCCTTTATATATTTAACAGAATTATAGGATTCCCTGCTTACGTTATTTAGTTTCGTATTGTTAGCTCGATTTTTTAATAATAGCCGGCGAAATTGTCTTTGAATCAGAATTATGGCGTTTAAGTATTCTTGCTTGTTATAAATGTCTGGAGTTTTTGAATTGACCTTGGCTGAATTTTCAGTTTTACGTTTTAAATATAGTCGAAAGTGTTTTTGTATAATGTAAACTGCTTTTGAATATTGATTCATTTTGTGGTTTTCTAATGACGTATATTGTTGACTTGCATCAGATAGTGTATTTTTTAACTGGGTTCCAATTTCTTTTGGATTTAATATACGTCCACACTCACATGTCACCTTGGTTGGAGGCGACTTCATCCTATTTTGTAAAATATATTTTTCATAGGCTGCATACTTAATATCCTCTATTTGCGCTGAATCGGTTTGAAGGTTTTTAAAATATTCTATAGCAAAAATAATTAAGAACTGTGGTCTCTCTTTAAGGACAGCTTTAATAAACTTCTTTATTACGTCGGTAAGATTTTCTGGAATAATTTGAAAAGCTAGTGACAATGGTACTTGTTGTCGAATGCGATTTTTCATAATGATTTGATAAGTTTGCTGAGGTTCGTATTTGACGACATTTTTGTCCATTCTTTGAGCCGCAATATTTTCAAAATATTGAACTGAGAATTCATATAGGTTTTTCGGTTTTTCGTGTAAAACTTCCTTTGTGTAAGCTTTTACCAGGTCGCGAAGTCCTTCCGGAACTCTTGGTAAATTGATGTCTACCATTTTAAAAATATATTTTGCAAACTACTGACCATTCACTGCAATTGTTAAATCAATACTGACAAAGGATTTCAACTTTTTTGCTTGAAAACCCTGACGGCGTTTGCTGACTGTTTCCATGATAACCAAATGAAAGCCACAACATCTAACAACTTACGTCACATTGTGCTGTTGACTCACTTTTAAGAAGGAAATTCAAGACTGTTAGTTATTATGTTAGTTAGTTAGTCCGTAAGCAAGCCCAAATGTACTTTCTGAGTAACATCATTTATATCTGAAGTTCTAGGTATTTGAATAATAAGACCAAATTTGTTTAGAAGCTCTAGTTGGAAGTGCCCGACTTGGGGCATTTCATAAATACCCTAAACCATTTTCTACCAACACCAAATGCAGCACACGCCATGAGCTAGTAATATTAGTGGTATGAGCTTATGGAGGTAAAAAAATAAAAATAAAAAGAAAAGCCCCAAACTATTTGCAGTGCTTCTACTTAAGAGTTATACCAAATATTGGTTTTAAGTGAATAAAACTAATTAAAATAGCAGCACAGCATACAATAAAAAAAAATGCAATGCAATGCTGCTTATCGAGTTCGGACAGGCTAACATACTTATATACTTTATGTAGCCGAAGATGCTTTTAAAATAATCACAAGTTAAAGTTCTTAGTAAAAATTGTTTTTGAACAAGAAGAAAACAATTATTTTCACATTCGGACGAATGGACGGATGGACAGGGAGATTGGCAGGCGAACAGACATACGGACATGACTTTATGTACTTTATATTTGCATAAAAAATTATACCCTATTTACCCATTTTCAATGGGTATAAACCCTTCCGCCTCCATCTCATAACTATAAATAAAATAAACAAATAGATTGGACCCAACAAATTAGGATACAATTTTAACGCTGTTGTCTTTTTGAGAATATAATCCATCGTACCGTCGGATCAACCAATTAAGATCGTTTAAGAAACACAGAAGACGAATTAAATAAAACATGTGCCATTATTGAACCCGTGTTTGTATATAAATTAAAAAGCTTGACACCTCTTGGGGTAGCTACGTCCCTAATTAAACTAACTCTAAATAACTTCATTTCTTATAATGTAAGCTACAATCGTTGACATTTTGGCTCGTGCATGGCTCCGTTCAACTCCCGCAGAAGCCGCTGTATTGTATTTATTTATTTCACTACTTATTGAGTTGCTAATATTTTTTAGCAACTGTTTTGACACTTTAGCCAAGAAACAACACCTTATAATTCAGTTTTATTTATCAAACTTATAAAAATTGTAAGATTACTTGTGGGTAATAGAAGAAGATAAGAATTTTAAGAACAACTGTTTCACTAAACTAAGATTACGACCTCTTCTTATGTTTACATGAATGTTGCTTTTTTTAATGCGATGTGCCTGCTGCAAAATTCAGGCAAAATAGTTGGAGTTCACGTGTATTTTCACTGGGAAGAATATTGACCGAATATTTCCAACAGTCGGGGGTAATATATTCCCTATTCTTGCAATAATCCTGATCCACCGATCCAATAAAATCATGCTGTTGTTTTACTTGGTTATTAGATTTGTACTTATTATTTTGTTATTGGTCCAATGATATTAATGCATAAATGCGTTGCCATTAGCACAATTTGATTTCCAATTTTAATGATTCTCTACAACTCGATTCTAGTTCTTGTCGAAATTCTCACATGTTTTTTCAACTGGCGAAGCCGTTCGGGTAAATCAATAAGGATATACCATCCATGAAGATGTTGTGGCGTGTAACCAATTATGGAGACAAATAATGGAATTATAAAAAAATACTTAAAAGTTGAATTGAGTTTACATTTAATTTTATTTAAAAGCAAACTGAACTGATTTGATATTGAGATGATGACAAGGAAGTACCAGCTGATAAAAAATAAAAATGGGATTTGTGTCAGTTTTAAATATGATACATTGTATTGATTTAAGACTAATTTGCATAAAACTAGACATTTATAATTTTTTAGACATTTCAGAAATTAATAGGTTTCTCTGTCTTCTTCAATGCGACATAATATAGGTATGTCATCATCTCTAGCGATATCAACTGTGTTGGATAATATATTTTCTTGAATGAACTCGGCTTTAAATTTTTTCCACTTGAGAGTTTTCAGAAAGTCATCAAATAGTGCTTCTCTTGATGGAATGATGCAATCTAGGTAGAAAAGTCTCCGTTGCCATATGTTTCCCGGATTTTGTTTTTTATCTAATAAAAAAAATCTGGGAAGCAACAAGCACTGCACTGTATTCCGTGCCATTATCACACGATGATGCATTTTTTCGCCTAATCCAAAGATTCCACCAAACGTAAGCGATCCAACATCAATAAAATGACTTTCGTAGATGTCCGTCTATAATTAAATATAATTATGGAACATATTTTAGAAGTTATAAAGACAAATGTAAATATTTTATAACTATAAAACAGTTCGTATAAAACTTACATTTATGCTGGCTCTTGATGTTGATGACGATGATGACGTTGAAGCTGTATATATTTCAGATTCAATGGACACTTTACTGCGCTGAGATTCGGAACTATTTATTGGCCCTGAATCAGAGGTAAGGTTTCTTAAATTGTCTTTAAATGACCCTAGAGAACTTGGTTGACTTTCGTCAATGGCTTCAATTTCTTCTTCCACGAAATACTTATTTTCATCTTCGGAATATGGGCTATTCATTTGCGAATTACTATATGTTAATGGAATCAGGGTCGAAGCTCTGCTGTCCATTCCACATATAAATTCTGTACTTAAGCTAAGTTTGTCAAGCTTTAAAAAAATATAAGTTTATTTAAATTGAATATGAGGGAACAGTTATGTATGTTTGTAAACGAGTGAATTAAACTGCCTTGCAAGCTCTAAAACATCAACAAAAATCAAAAATCTGGGCGGAAAGCGAAGGCCATTGTAGCCATTCATTTTTATAAAGTAGTTTAATAAAGTACTTTAAGCAATTCCTATTAAGTCGTATTTCAATCAACGGATACCTTTGGTGGGTTAAGAACGAAATTCCCTTCTAAACATATGACATGAATTTGGTTCAGATTTCTTGATAAGGAAAAAAGTTAAAGCTAAGAATTTTAGATATTACCTTTCCACTAATCACACGCCCGTGTAAAATTTAAATTAAAAATATGTTTTACCTGCATCGTAAAGAAACCAAATGTTGGAATCAACGTTTTCCGCCCATGTTAGTTTTGCGGTAAGAATCTTGAAGCTGAAGAATATACTCTCGTTTAATAAGCTTTTGACCCGCATTTGCCACCCAAGAACGTATCAAATAAATTCCTACAAAAACTTTAAAGCCGATAGGATGGTTCCCAAAAGCATTCACTTAATGATTTTTCGCTATTATCACTGTTGTAGATGGAATTTCCTAAATCGCTGAAACAAGTATAAATTAATTTTCTACGTAAAGCTTTGCAAACTGGTAGTTTGAAGCAAATCGGACAAAACTTAAAACTACGTCCAAAAAATCTTTCAATCGAGGCTTCTACGGAAGGTTAAAAACATGTCTCAATATATAGAACTTTGAAATAAATATGGCCTTTCGTCATCCACCAAATCTTTTTTTCCACATGTCCACAAAGCAAGGATAGGTTTTCCAAAAAATGCAAAGCACCCATCATCTAAATTTAAACAAAGATCTTTGAAAATGAGTTTGTGACGGGTCGGATGGTAAACGAGAAAGTTTCACACAAACGTTTTTCGCGATATTTCCACACATGCGGATGGAATTTCACGAAACCCCACCTTAACGCACACCTTTATCACATAAGGTAATTACAGTGAAAGTTTCATTTATATGAAATTCCTGAAAATATATTTCAGATATCATTTAAATCATATATCATATGTAGGAGGCAATAGTACTTATCGTACGCCTTGCATTAGAATTAAAGATGACTAACACAGTTATGATAACGATCTAATAATAATTAACTACATTTTAAGAGCGTTCTAGAATAATTGATATCGATATCATTATCAATTTGGATTTAGATAACTCACCCTTCTATTTCGGCTTTTGTTGTTCGTATCCGAAGAGTTTTTGCCTACATGCTTGCCGGTTTTAAAATCACTATCAAAATTTAAAAAAGTATCTTCCAATTGATCTACAAGCTGGTGTATCTTTCTTCCATTTTTTATGATTACCTTGAAAAAAATGAGAAATGGGTAGGCGTGTTGGCTTCAGAATAAATATTTGATATACTTACCTTCATTTCCAGACACTGTAGTATAACACATTCTCCACTTAAAACAAAATGAACATTTGTAAGTGTACCTTTATCATGAATGTAAATTGTGTCCAAAGGCTTATATTGCTTAAGGGTGCATAATTTACACGCTTTTAAAATCTATAATAAAGAGTTAGCTTGGATCTATATATTTTCAAATAGCTCTTATCCAATTTACCCACCTGATCCTCGCTGAGAAACTCAAAGTAGTCTAAAGCCATCAAGGCTGTTTTCTTTTCATTCCAAATCTTCTTCATGTAAGGTTTTAAAATTGAAATGAAATCATTGTCGAACAAAACTAGCAGTTCGCATTGCGCTACGGAGCCGTCACACAAAATATACGTTTGAAGTGTAGGAACGACAAATGCACAATGGGAACGAAATACAAGTTAGAGTACATCAATCCGTTTCAAGATTTCCATCCAATATACCAAAAAGAGGAAAACATGTCGAAAGCAAAAAAAAAAAAAGAAGTAAAATAAACACCACGTTGCGAAGTGAAAGCTAAATTGGGAATCGGCCTGAGGTCCTTGGGGTCGATTGAGGCTGCTAACCTACATATATTCGCTGCCTACGTATTGCAGTCGCAATCGCTTACACGATTGGAAGGATTTTGGCGAGGGGGTTCTACTTTGCTATTCATTTTGATTGAATCGAATTAGGACTTAACTTTGTTTATTGCTGATTAAATTGGTTGGTGCATGCCTTTGCTTTTGGCCACGAAGTATTCCGTCATTTACAAACGGACTTATGATATCGCGTGTCGGGCTTATTTATTTGCTTTTGATGTATATATCTGTGCAATATACAATCTGTATCTGTACATAAGCAAACAGTGTCCAAAAAATTAAATATCTTGCATGTCCCAAAAATGTATATGCAATCAAGAGAGCTCATTAGTCGTTATTAACATATTTATTATTTTATTTGAATATAGCCTGGCTACTACACACCTTTGGCTGGTTGTTGTTAATTTATTTTAATCAATTACAATAACTTAACATACAATTTACAAGAATGTGAAGGGCTTTATGTAAGTTGCAACATGGCTTAAACAGATAGCGCAAGAATTCCTGCAAAAATGTGCATATGTCATTTCTTGGCATGGCTGTAAGATGTGAAGCGACGGCAAGTAATTGGTTCGTTTGAAGATGGATGCGAGTCCGGAAAAACATTTTATTTAAATTTATTTTGAACTAATTGTATATCTCTATGCATTGTGCTTTTCATTGACTTTAGCCGTGACTCTATTATTTTTCTGCTTTTCGATAAACTTATCTTAATGATTTTTCATGTAATACTTATTTCGTTCGAATTACCGGAACGTATGAATATGTTTTACACATTTATTAACTGGCTATAGAAGAAGAAGAAAAAAGTAATCCAGTGAATCTTCACTTTTAAGATTGGGATCATATTATTTAGTACTCATATTTACATATGTATATTGAAAAGTAATACATCTCTGGTCTAAAATACTTATCCAGTATAATTATATTGTCTATATGTTACACTATCGTAATACCCTTAAACAAGGTGTATTCGGCCTGCACTGTAAATTTGACTATAAATACTTTTGTCTATGCAAACAATTTTTAACTTCGTTAATTCCAGACGCATGACGTCTATTTCGATTAAGTTTGCACTGTTGCCGATATGCTCGCAAACTTTTTTTAAAACTACCTACACATCATCTATAGCCTTTGTAATAATCGTATATATCAGATGTAGCATTTATGCAGGTCTATTATTTCAGCATCCTTGAATTCTAAAGCGTAAATCCTAACCACTAAATCTTCTTACTTTGCTAGTAATTGATTTGAAAGATTTTAGACTGATTTACTATATACTCACTATACTCATTTTTAATGAGGCCTTCGATATCGTAAACCTCTTTGTTTTTCTCAATTGGAAGAAATATAACTAAAAAGCCTATTTTCAGAATTTTATTGGTTTTCTAAATGTAGTCTCTACTCTCGTTGTTGTATCTTGTTTGGTTAGTGTTACTACCTAAAATACGAAACAAAAAAGGGTCCTGGACAAGGCCGAGAAATGACAGTTAGTTTAGTTAGTCACAACGAATTTAATTAACATCCACTTACATGTAGTTATGAAAGTGTGAGTGCGTGTGCAGTCTTCGAGCATCGCTACATCGCCTATGCAATCACCTGGTCCAAAAATGATTTCCCCTTTCGATTCCATCTTTTTAGACAACTGTACTTAAAGTAGTATTAAAAGAAATACAATTTTGTCTCCGTTTTTAACTTTTAGTTACCTTATTGCCAGAGATTTTTATCATCTCCACCTCTCCCGTTACGATAAAATAAACTGTAAGCGGCAAATCACCCTGTCTTATGATTGTACGACCTGAACTGAGTGACAAAAATTTAATAGCAGGCACCAAACGAGCACGTAATTTCTAAAATAAATACAAATTGCATGAACCAAATATATTTTAGGAGTTAATACTTACTGGTGGAATAAGAAAAAAACATCTCAATCCAGCAAATAAAACGCATAGTTTCTTTCGGTCAGGTATTGTCCGTACCAAATGTGGTGTACGTATTAGGGATTTTTCCTGATATATTAAAATATTTAAGATAATAGTTATTGAAACGAGTAGATTTTATATTAAATAAAAATTTAAAGCATCACTATGAGTACTGCTTTAAATCATTTGTTTTACTGTTGAGCCACCAGCTTTAGATATATATGTATAAGTGAGATCGAACATGGTATCTTGCTGAAATTAGTCCGAAGGACATCAACGACAATCAATGAACAGGACGCCTAAGGACACCCATTACTGGACTCATCGTTAACGAAACATGATTAGTTAGCGCCCAAATAGAACCTTAATTTTAATTATTGTTTAGGTACTTATTGGCTTTAATATATCTTACATAATTTGCGCGTTCTGTATTTTGGAAACTCAATTATTTAATGATACTTTTTGTTATTAGTAATGTTAATGCATATATAAAAATTAAACAATTATTTGTTTGTGGGCTACTACAAACTAAAATGGTTCGGAAAGCCTAGCCGCTGCTCTGCTGCCTGGTAAGCCGTTGGATCACAATAAATATACATATATATATATTTACTTACAGCGGCTGTAAGCATTCCCATTTTTCGCTTCGTACGCATCAGCAATGCTATATTTTTTTTAACGTTTGCGGAAATTTTCGGAACATCGTCACTTTCACCATCGAGCCACTGGTTATTAGTAATGACTACACGGACTACCTTCTTAAATAAAGCTTTAAGAATCGTTCTTTTTTTTACATCTTCTGCATCTCTCACACGCTTAGATATCATTTAAAAATATCTTTTTTTATTCAAACCAGATACAAATTATAATTGACATAAGAAGATTGCAAACAAACCAAAATAACAATACAAATTTAAATGTTGTGTCTGATATATGTTGTTGTTTTAAAAGCACTCTTTGTGAATTTGTCTGATCTCGATGAACCCAGTAAACTAGGGAAAACCCATGCTATAATTGTTTTGTGCCAATGCATATAACATTCAGATGGTAACATATTAGATCTGATAAGGAATATATATTCTTGATCAGGATGCTTAAACTAACTCTATATACCTGTTCTACCTGCGGGACTGAATGATTTGTGATCAGCGCACAGCCCAAACAGCAGGAGCAAGGAAGCTGGGTCAAATTCATTATACAATTATAGAATAACAATAAACTTTCATAGAATCATTAACCACAGTCTCGAATGGAATTTCTAAAATTCGCCGAAACACGTATTCTTTAAGTTATTTTTAGGGCTTTGAATGTAGGTTTGAGGCCGATCGGACGAAACTTACAGATGTTCCCAAAAAAACTTTGAGCTACATTTTCCACTGAGGAGGCTTTGGTTAAGTTGTGTTCACAAAATTACAGTTGTGTTGGGAACTCCCGACTAGACCCTTTTACTTGTAGTATAGCTTTACCAACGTGCAGCCGCCTTTCACCCTTATCTCGCCCCTTTCTTTATGTGCAAGTGTATCTGTAAAAATACAAAATAGAGAAATCTTCAGTGATCCTAGGAGATATATACTTTGAATAAAAGGTTTAAGAGCGGGATAGAGTACATTAAAAGTGCATCTGATAATGCGCTTCCAACCCAGCGCGCATAATGGGAGACAGCGATGGGCAATCGACGTCGGCAGCAGTTCAGCAGCAGCAGCAGTAGGTTTCCGTAATCCCCAGCAAAATAGCATCAGCTATACATTTGTCGTTCCTGTTGCTCAGTCGCCCATTGTGAGCATAATATATAATAAATTGTAAAAGAAACAGAAGATGTAATTGGATGTAATTGATTTAAACTCCAAAAGTTTTGCAAACTCTTAATGGGAAGCTTATCTAGATCATCCTATTCGTTTTGATATTTGTGTGTGCGCTCTTGTTACCGGACCCTAATAACCCTACAAAGTGTTTACAATCTTCGTCATCGAAGAAAAGGTACGAAAGGGTGCGATTTTCATTTTGTCGTTTTTTAATTATTAGGTTAAGTGTTTTTTAAAAACGCCTTTATGAAGTCCAGTCCACTCCTGTATATTTCCTGTCATAAAGTTTGTCGCATATAATAAAAAATGATTTTATTTAATCTGCCAATATTTAAGTTAAGCGGAAACGTAAATCTACCTTAATCGGTTATGTGAATTTAACGATATTTATTTAAATTTGCAACCGATAGGCAAAGATTATCACAACATCTTACAACAGATAGGACAATTAACTCATTTGGCTCTGTTAGAACAGTTTTATTTTAGATCATTTATATCTTTAGGCAATATGTCATCTTTCTGCCACCACTGATTCATTTAAAAGCTCGACCGATTATTCGTTATAAATGGGATCTAAACAAATGTTAGTTAAAATGTATATAAATAAATACGAAATTAAAATAATATAGCTATATATTTAAAAATAAAAACAAACGAGCTGGTGTTATTTAAAGCACACACGCAAGTTTTCTGTTAAAATTTATATACATAGGTATGTGTTGAATTTTTACATTCTTACACTTAAATTTGTTTCATACTTAAGTAAAACATAAAAGAATAAAATAGAAGGAATAGTTAAACATAAAAGAATAAAATAGAAGGAACAGCTCAGTAGTATGTACTGCCTTGTTGGTGGCTCTGTATGTAAGCACATCGTGCCCCTCTGTTACGCATAGTAAATCCGCTAGATGGCGGTATTTTATGTTGCGGCTGTAGCCCTGCACTATTCATGCCTATCGATAACTCTCTCATCCATTTGAAAATGTTAAGAAGAAGAACAACAGCTGATTAATAAAATACGGGTTTCGTTGTGAATATATTTTTAAGCAAATATTATTTTCATTTTTTTTTAATATTTAAAACTTTTCGAATTTAAACTATAATATTGGAAAGTGAAATGGATTCACAATCAATATCCGAAACCCAGAGTAAAAGTCGTAATGAATTTAATGTAAATTACATATTTAATGAAACATTTCATTGCGAATCCAATTCAAACTTTCTCCATTTCAGTTATCAGAGAAACCGACAAAATCGTCAGCACTCACTGTAGGCACAATACCATTACGAGCAGTTATGTTATTCTTGGCGGCAACTGTGTTTACTGCAGTACTTCTTGAGATTCTACCTCACTATACTAAAACAAAAACTGAGCTTGACCCATTAAATGGTACAGAAAATGCCTTGGTTCGTCAACGGGCGTATTCAATTTATACTACTAGCCCCACAGAGGAACACTTGGTGCACGTACTGGAAGTTTTGAACATATTCGGTTATAAAAGAGTTGCGTTAGAAGACAACTGGGACCTATTGTGGGCCCATGACTATCCGTTCCGCGTCATGCCCAAACTAAAGAATCTAGAAGCGCATCAATTTGTTAACCATTTACCTGGTTGTGGTTACTTAACAAATAAAGTTGATTTGTGTACGACGCGGCTACCTTTTTTGCCGCGTGCTTTTCGCCTGCCAGATCAGAGAAACGCCTTTTTGGAATACGCGTCAGCGCATCCGGAGGCACTCTTTGTACAGAAGCACAACGAGCATCGTCACATTAAAGTTCGGGCTTTAAATGATATCGATTTCCATTCCAATGATTCGTTTGTCCAGGAGTTCATTCAGAAACCATTTTTGGTCGATGGTCATAAATTTGATATCGGAGTATATGTTGTGATCACTTCCATAAATCCATTGCGAGTTTACATATACAACGGCGATGTATTGTTTCGGTATTGCCCTGTCAAGTATTATCCCTTCGATTTCGAAATTCTCGACAAATATGTTGTTGCTGACAATTATTTACCCACCTGGGAGGTTCCGTCCTTACGCAAGTATTATAACAACTATGGGGGAAGCATGCGTGCTTCTTTTGAAGCGTATGTACGCGATCAAAACATGGATCCCTCAAAAATATGGCCACAAGTGGAACACATTATACGTACCACTATTTTGACGAAAGAACAAGATTTAATAGATACACTGCGTATGTATAAAAGGCATAATTTCTTCGATTTGTTGCGTTTCGACCTTTTTATTGATGACGAACTAAATGTACACCTAATGGAGGCCAACATGTCACCGAATCTTTCTTCCGCTCACTTCAAAGAAAACTCACTTTTGTACAAACAAGTGCTTTACAGTGTGTTCAACCTGGTAGGCATTCGTCCGGTTATTAAATCAGAAATCAGTCAATTCCCGTATGTTATGAATGCCATTAAATAATTGGTATTTGGTTTTAATTTAGATTTTTTAGACTTTCAGAAGTAATAACAGCTGATAAAAATTTGGCAACTGCGCTAAATAATTGTGCATCCAACGATTGCGACAAGTCATGTAATAAAGAAGAATGCAGCCTATGCCTGCCTTGTATAAGTGGAACAGAATATAAATGGCTACAAGAAGCTCACGATGAGCACTTGCATCGTGTTGATATGAAGCGCATCTTTCCTAAGCCAATAGTAAATTCATTTCGAAGCCCCTTTCTTTATTTATTATTAATATGTTTATTAATATGTTTTGTTTTCAGCATAATATTCACACATTTGATATCGACATTGAAACTACACAAATGTCCAAAAGAAATGCATGGATAACACGTTGGTTTTTCAATAAATGTCAATATGACCGAACATGGTGCACCTGACAGCACCAAAATAGTCGAAAATCAATATGGAAATATATGTATTACTATTATAATATTATTTATACAGTTATCTCTTATTAGATATTTATAATTGAAGTTGTGCAAACATAAGTAAAGAGTTCTTTTTATTATTATTTTCTTTATCAGTTACAACTTTTAAATTGATCTGGCGATGTCCTTAAATGATAAATCTCTAAATATAATACTGTTTGTCCTGACTGACTGACTGACTTATTGACTGATTGGTGCAATTAAGACAGCGTTTCCATCTGCAATCGGGAAAACGTTTGTATTGCCTCAAATTCATTTTTAAAGATCTTTGCGCAAATTTATTTGAGGCGTGTTTCGCACGTTTTCCTCGGTGTTTGGTGCGATTCAAAGAATTATTTCATGAATTTTTAAGTTTTGTTCGATTTGCTTCAAACTTATTTTCAAAGCTCTACATAAAAATTGACGAGTACGTGTTATTTCAGCACTTTGGGAAATACCACCCACAAAGGTGTTAAATTGGCGGAAAACGTTGTTTGTTTACCGTCCGATTAGTTTCAAAACCATTTTCAACGCTTTTTAGTTCATTTATTTTATACGTGCCACGACTACATTTAATGGAAAGCGCAAAACCATGAATTTAGCCGGTAAGAGTATTTTACTCGGGAGTGTTTGACTCGAAGATTTCCTGCCATCACCAACATTAAAACGTTATTCTACACGGAATCACACATGTGCCACACACGCACGCCGATTGCTGCGCTTCTTTAACGGCACGGACGTGTATCCCATTTTCAAGCCGGAATTGTGTATCCAGTGGGAGAGGGGGCTTCTATGGACAGAAAAAGGGTATAAGGTTCTTCATAGATTGCTCGTAGATTTCTAAAGGTAGTATATTGTGCAAAACGCGACGGATTATTGTCCTCAATGTCGAAATACTAACGTAAGGTATACACAAAGTCTAGTTTGGCTTTTATTAGTCAATAAAATGGGAAATGTTATCGATGATTTGAGACAAACTCGTACTGGCTCTAAAATTTCAAGTCTGTAAGATTAGTCTTATCTTGAGATCCTTGCGTAAATACAACATACTTTATAGGGTTGGGGAAGCTTCCTTCCGCTTGTTATATACACTTATACAAAAACACTTAACACGTTTTCACCCTCTTTCAATACATGCGACGCATAAAAAGCAACTCAAGTATTTTGGAAAACTATTTTCGATTGGAAGGGCTTCC